GAATAAGCATGTGTCCTAAACTCCTGAAACATAGGTGTCTCATATTTTAGAGCTGTTAATATAATTATGAAAGATATCAATTAAATCTGTATGTGTGTGTGTGCGTGAAAATATTCAGATGCAAACCCTTTGTAATCATTAACATTTTTATAAGTAACTGTAATTTAATTGCAAATTTTTCTCAGTAACTGTAACTGATTACAATTACGTTTATTTTGTCATTAAATTATGTAATTTAGCTACATGTAACTAGTTGCTACCCAACACTGTTTATGCATTATTACAATAATAGAGGTGAAAGAGTTCATTAACCTCTTTAATGTTAAAAATGTGAACAATATCACTTAACAATAGTTTGGCAAACAAGGGTACGCTCATAAAACAAGCCAGACCCGATTTGAAGCATCGTAACAAGTACAGTCATAGCAGAAAATGGTTTATAGCGCCGCAGTTAATTAAAGTAATACTATGTGCTAATTTAACTGCTTTATTTACAGTATGCTGAATATAAAACTGTAAACAAGAACATTAAAACATTTCAAGCTTGTTAAACAACCACGTACATTCCTCTTATGAAAACGCTTTATAAAACATTTATCAAATACTATAAAACTCATATCCGTTAAGCGCTGTTTGCAAGTTCACATGTAAATTATCAACAAGTTCTCAATCTGTTCTCATGTACGCCAACATGTTCTTACAAACAGAAACATATTTATAACGAGCTTGAAAATATGCTCAAAACATATAAATATCCGTCACACATTGTGCACTGATCTAATGCATTCTGCACACCTTAAAACAATTAATTCAATCAAAAACCTGACCAAAACTAGACAGACAAAAGCTCAATGATAGTTGGCATGGATCGAGAGGAAGGACAAAATAATCATTCTTTGCCACAGTAACATACTGGGGTCCGAGAAATTTGATATCCTTACTGTAGATTTTCTTAATATTCTTTATTCTTATTTTCCTCTTATTCATAAACCTACAATAGT